TTGTTTATTATATGCTCTTAATTATATTAATTGAATTCTAAGTAAGGGAAGCAAAGTCTTTGTGTGATCTGTGATATACAGAATTGAGATTGAATCTTCACCTGACAGGCTGGGATTTCTGCTCTCTGAATTTATGCAAGGGACCTGAAAGGTGCTTAGAGATTCTGAGTATTTAAAATAAAATACTTGAACTATTAGTAGGGTTGAAAATTTAAGTATTTTCCTTTTTTCTCAAGGCCTCTGCCATAAAATTTGTGTGATTTGTTCTAGAATTAGGAGTATTGTTTTCTTCTGACTCTAATCAGTCCTATGCAAGGTGGAGAAAGGTGTAAAGGATAATGCATAAATATTATTGAAAAAAACCACAGACAAGACAGTCATTTCTGCAGGCTAGAGATTTTAATGTATTTACATTCAGCCTGGAATTAGCAGCTCTGTGTCAGGGAACTGCAGTGGTGTTCATGAATTTGGAGCAAGTCAGAAGAGAAAAAAATGCAACTGCATGGAATTAAAATTGCACCAGAAGTTTGAGGAAGGAGATAAGTAATTGTTTTCAAATCGTGACAGGAGTGCAGACTGAGCACTCTTTCCTTTAGGAAAATTCAGATTAGTAGGGGCCATAAATCAGCTTTACATTTCAGAAGGAGGGAGGCAGCTCCACGAGTGCCTGTAGCCAGTTTGGCAGAGCAGTGAGATGGGAGAGCAGCTCCTCTGGGGCTGTAAATTGGAGTCAGTGGGACTCTGACAGCTCTCAGTGGTGGAGGCTGTGCCACCTCAGAGACTGCTGAGCTCACCTTCTGCATCTTCCAAGTAGTCCTTGGAGGATCCTCAGGGCTGCTGCAGTCTGCTTCTGCTTACCCTGCAGGATGTGACAAGGATCACAGCCCAAGGTGGGAAGTTGGCTGGCATAAATAACATTGTCTGTAACCCCAGTTTCCTGAGTCAGCATTTTGGGTGTGCATAGTTTACAGGGAGAGGACTTCTGAATGAGAGGACAGTGCTTTGTCAAGGGACGTGTTGGGGTCTGGAAGAGGTGGGAGTGTGAGGGGCTGAGGAGCACTCAGCAGAATATGTGTCCCCTTATGATGTTGGAGGAGTCAGAAGATCCTGGAATTCCTATTTCTCACAGCTTCCTGGTATTTACAAATCTCTTTCTATGGATTTGAATTTTGGGTGGATCAATCTGAGGCTGGGACCTTGGAGCAGCCAGCAGACAACTGGAGCATCATTTATTTTTTCCCTTCATGTACTAAAAATGCTGCTTGTACTGTGTGTTCACCCCTGCCAGAGGGTGATTAAAAAAATCATTGCTGGGGAGGAATGATGTGCATGCTGGAAAGCCTTGCAGGATGTCCCTAGAGCACATCTCTACCTGAACACGTTCCCATGCCAGAGTTTCACTGCCTGGGTCCAATCCCTGCAGCTCCAGCTGGGCTGTGGTGCAGACAGTTCACTGGCAATTAGTGCCCTTTGCAGTGTTTGTCCTCCTCTGTTCTGAAATAATTGCTGTTATCATAGATGTTTTATTGCCTTCATTATGGTTAACATTTAAATACCAATGAAATAGTATTCTACTAAGTTATCTGTGCAGTAGCTGTCTGCTAGAGTTATCCCTGAAATTTGTGTGTAAAGAGAATATTAATTCAGTGCTGATTTAGGATTCTTAGAAGGAGGGCTATATATTTGTCAATGAACTGTGGGGAACCTTTGCTTATTTGAAAATAAGCAAGTATCTGAAACCTTTGCAAAACCTGAGCCACTCTCATTGTCTTGTGAGCAGAAATGCTGTGTGATTGGAATAATGCTTAGTCTGTTGAATAGAAATATTTTAAGGACCTGTAAAATATTTTTGAATCATCAAGTCATAACAGGTGACCTTTCTGCATGCAGATGAATTGCACTGAGGGACAGGGATGTGTTCTCTGCCCTCAGTGCAGAGGGAAGCTCACTGTCACAGCCTGCTCTGCCTGAATCCAATCTGCATCCTTTAGAAATCAATAGGAAAATCTCTCTTGAATTCCTATGGCCCCCATTGACTCCTGTAGTGCCATATGTGACTGATTCAGACATCAGCTACGTCTGTGATTTAATGTTTGTGAGCTGACTTCACATGTGGCTTTTATTTATCACTGCATACCTAAAATCTTCCATCCCAGTGCATAACTCATTTTAAAGTAAAAAGCAGCAAAAGCACAGGGTTGTCTCAGAATTATATTTTTATGTTTACAGGGGAAAAAAAAATGGTGATGCAATTATAAACTCCATTTCTGAGCCCTGTTTGAACTTCCCAACATGTAAAGAGCAAACACATACAGATACTGAAGGGTGGGTGTGTTGATGTATTTATTCATGCACTCTCACTGGGTTTGTTCCCTTTCTGAAATTGTTGTTCAGGCTTGTTTTTGGCTCATTGACCATAAAAGACTTTGGTTCCATCGCTGGGTAAATAAGGTAATGGAGCACTAGCATTGTGTGACAGAGAGGTTCATTTTGCTCCCTGCCATCTGCCCCAGTGGGATGTGAGCTGTCCCTGTGACCTTAGCAGGGATTGAGGCAGGGCTTGCAGCCCTACCACTGCTGCTCAGGCTGCCCCAGCACAGCAGAGCCCTGCAGGCTGGCAGGCACAGCTGGCAGCTCCCAGAGCTGACTTCCAGCTCTCCTGCTGGAGCTGACAGTGTCTCCCTCTTCATCTTGCCCTTTACATTTTTAGTAGGCTGCCTTTGAGTCCTTGGGCATTGAGAACCTGAATCCACAAACCCAGTGGTTTGTACACTCATCGGTCCCAATACTTGGCTGTGTGTTCCTTGTCCAACTTTTAACATCTTTGAGTTTTCCAGAGGATCTGGAATGAATACTACATGTTATGCTCTAAGTTATCATGTGCTAAGACTGACAGCTCTTATCAGCCTGGTGTGTGAACGTGTGTGACTTGACTGATACAGATCTCTGGCAGCAGACCTCACATGCACATTCCAGATTTCCAAAACTCTGCTTTTACTGACGTAGCTCTCTCTGCTCACAGATTTGGAAAGGAAGGGTGACTTTGCTCTGTTGGTGCAGTTTGCTGTCATGGGTATGTCAGCCCCCAAGCTGGCTCCAGATTGCCAGTACATCCATCTGGTGCAGCACTCTGCTGGAATACCAGCTCTGGAGACTATTTGGGTGCTGTCCTGCCAGCATGCAGCACAGCAGCAGCAGCAAAACAAGCTGCCAGAGCTGCTCCCACCCTGCTCCTGAGTGTGCCTGTGCAGGGCCAGGGTACCCTGCAACCTCCTGGCTTTGCCAACGTCTGGGTGTATGTCTTCCTGTGTACCCAAAACCCAGTCTTAATAGGGTAAAATCTTAATTAGCTGTAATCTGCTGATGTTTTAGAAGATGGCTCTGCAAAGGGATTTCTAGGCAGAATTGTAAAAATGGTTTTTGAATTGGCAGATGACCAAGAAAGAGAGTGAACTCCTGGCAGACTTTTCTAGAGCTTTTGATTAAATGTCCTATACAAATACATGACATTGGAATAGCTGAGTAGTTAGGGAAGGATGAGGTGCTGTTCCTGCTTCAGCAGGTATGTATTTATGTATTCTTCAGCACATACATAAGCACACAAAAGCACTGTCTTCTGCCAAAGTGCCCCTTGTAGAAAGTAGAGGCTGCTCCCTGCCCTGCTGCATGTTTCAAACAGGCAGGGGCAGGACTGGCCACTCTGGAACACTGAGTGACGCCAGCCCTGTCCATTCTCATGACAAACTGCATTTGCAGATTTGGTGCTCTTGCAGCATGGCAATTATGCCCTGTGGAAGTGCTTTCCATTTCCTGTGCTATCTTGATAAACTTTATAGCTTCTAATTTGCTGGAGAGTCATTGATATAATTAGGAGCTACACAAATGGGAGCAGCACACTCAGCTGATGGTAATCTCAGTTCATTCTTCCTGAGAAGCTCTAAGGGGGTCCCTCCAGCAGCCCAGATTTTCTCTTTAGGCTCAGCTTTGACAGAGCAGCAGCAATCCCTCTGTGCCTGGGTCAGGACATGCTTTATTGCAGGCTGCTCCACTCTCCATCTATTTTTTCCTGAGGAAGGGGAGGATTGGGAGCCCATCCATCTGGGTGTTTCTGAGGAGCAATGGGGGCTGTCTGTCCATGTCAGCAGGCTTTGCTAACAAGCCTGGGAGAGCCAACAGCTCTCTTTTGGTCACAGTACATCCAAATCCTTCAAACTGCCTTTAAATGCTGTGCCCAAGTGTGTTGTCCCCCTACTCACGTTGTATTTGCTGGGAAATGCCCCAGTGAAGGCAGGAATGATGAATTTGACTCCATGTTCTCAGAAGGCTAATTTATTATTTTATGATACTGTATTATATTAAAAAATACCATACTGACTATACTAAAGAATACAGAAAGGATACTTACAGAATGCTGAAAAGATAATAATGAAAAACTCGTGACTCCTTCCAGATTCCTGACACAGCCTGACCATGATTGGTCATTAAGTTAAAACAATTCACATGAAACCAATCAGCCACCTGTTGGATAAACAATCTGCAAACACATTCCACATGAGCACAACACAGGAGAAGCAAATGGGATAAGAATTGTTTTCCTTTTCTCTGAGGCTTCTCAGCTTCCCAGGAGACAATCCTGGGCGAGGGGTTTTTTTCAGAGAATGTGAATGCCACACGCTCAGGCTGCACCAGGTTTTCAAAGTGGCAGCTGGACAGACGGGTCTGGATGTCTTCCAGTAGTTGATAAAAACTCATTTTCTGTACCCCTTGTTACCCAGATGTGGCAAACAGTGACCTCCAGCCATCCTGATGCTGCTGTTGGTTGCTTTCCCTGAGCAGCATCTTTCATGGTATGTCCCAAATTGTCACAGCTATCAGGGAGTGTGCCTTGCTGCTTGCCAAGAATTTTCACAGGTTGTTTCTGTAAATGCTGTGTTGGTGGTGAAGACATGCAAATTATTGATCAACCTAATTTTTTTCTCTTTTTTTTTCTCTCCTAACAGTACCCTCAACAACAACAACATCACCCACATTCCTGTTACCAGCTTCAACCACATGCCAAAGATCAGGACTCTGTGAGTAGGATCTTCTCATTTTATAATGCAATCCTGATGCTGTAAACCAACTTTTTGGCTCTTTGTCATCTGTGATAATCTCATTTATCAGTCCCTCAGGCTGCCCCAGGGGCTGGGTGGCTGCAGGGCTGGGGAGCCCAGGCAGGGCTGTGAAGGGGCTGGTGCCCACAGAGCCCCGTGAGCCTCTGTTCTGGATCTGCCCAGCATTAAGTAACAGTCAGTTTTATCAAGATTTTGAATTTACCCAGAAAATAAGCTGGCTTTTTTTTTTTTCCCCATGGGAAAAGCCATAATGTGAAATGTGTTCCAAGCTGGAGCATCAGCGCGATCGTAAAAACTGCTCAGATGGATCAAATTACTGAATTTTGTTAATATCCTGTGTTTAAATCCCATTAATTCTTTTCAAATTCAGAATGTTAATTTCTGAAACAAGGCATTTTTAAAGAAGATGAAAAAAGCATCTTTCCAGATACTTTCTGAAACAAAATGTCACTTATTCTGATGGATTTTTTTTATATAAAAGCTTCTCTTATATCAAATCCATTTGTTTTTGAGCTGCATGCCATTGCACTGGAAAAGCTCTGTTGTTTAGTAGATCAAAATACAAAGACTGTGAAATTAGACTAAGCATTTGTATAATTTAGCCATAGCCTACCAAAACCATTTCCTTAAGTAAATTATTTCTTTCGATTCCTTTAGGGAATACACAGCTTCAGGAAAAGTCACGTCTAAACAAAGCACCCCTGTTTTTCCTCCAGAATCTCAAACTCATCCAAGATGTATTTAACTCTAGAGGCAAAGAAAGGGAAATAGTAGCTAGCCTGAAAATTTTCTGTGCCACTGAAAAAATACAATACTTCAGGGATGCTATGCATGCATGTGTAAAATCATATTAAATAAATTAACAGAACTGAAGAAAAATGGCTCTTACTTATGTCAATCTCTGTAAGATAACCTCTGACTTAAATTTGCATTCTTCATCAAATGATGACATTATTAGATCTTAATGTAAGTAATTAAATGGAAATGAGATATTTGTCTTTTAGAAGAGAATGGCTAAAGAAGATAAAGGTGTAGAGTTAAGGTTCCTGGAATTTTGCCTTTTCTTATTCAGAAAATTTGCCTGGCTTTTCCAGATTAGCCACTCTTGTCTGTTAGCAGAGCTCTGTGCCTTCAGTGTCTTCTGCCATTTTCCCTTTAGTTTAATTTCAGAGATGGCTTTGTATATAGCTCCCTGGAGACTTACACTGACTAATCCCCCTCTGCTGTAATTAAGGGGGGGAAAAAGAAAAGAAAAAAAAAGGAAGAAGTCATAAATAGGATTTATAAAGGGAAGCTTTTCTATTGAATTCTGAGAGACACGTTTTATAGAACATGAATGCTGCCCCACTCTAAAAGGATTTGCTGGAAATTTAATTTTGGGACTATAGATAAAAGGGCAACTTAGGCAAACTTGCATTTGTATTCATTCACCTGATGTTCTGTAAAGTCAGTTTCATCAATATCAAAGGACAGGTTCCAGTCTCCAAAGACTGACAAATAACACACAGCACCCCTAGCAGGGCAATGTAGGAATTTGTATAAAGATGCTCTTTGGGGGAAGATGGTAATATTCTCTCAAGTTTCTTGTTGGAATGTATAATGAATGATGCTCCTCACAGTTTGGTGACTTCACTGTTTCCTTTAAAAATGGTCATCAGTGTGTCCACCTTCTCAAATAGCCTGCCACTTAGATGTGCTTTTTTTGGAAGTTTTTTGTGGGAAATGCCTGCTCTGAATGTTCCTTGAGTAGGGATGAGCCCCTTTTCCAGTCAGCTGAGGCCCAGTGCAGTGTGGACAGTGTTTTCCTTTGTGTCTCCTTTACACTCTGGTGAGATCCATTAGCAGGAGATTTGGGGATGCTGCTGCAGCTAGTGTGCTCTGATGGTTCTGTGAATAAACAGCTTTTCTTCATGGCTCTCAAAACAATCTGCCTATGGTAGAACAGAGAAGAAAATGTAATCTAGTCAGAAATCATCCTGCTCAACATGAGCACTCAGGGGAAAGAAGAAAAAGAGTAAAATGCCAGGAAGTTTTGAAGCATTTGAAGAATTCTTTGCTAAAATCAGCTCTTCTGTGCTAAGATTTTTTAGCTAACTGTCTCTTCTGTTCTTAAGTTTCATTGATTTTTAGCCTTGATTGGAAGTGACAGGAATTAGTTTTTATTGATCTGCTTTCCTTTGCTTGAAACAGCTTTATTTATGATAAAGCATGTTCCCTCTACCTATTTGCTTAATGGTAAGTGTCCTGTTGTCTCTGCATCTGTGAATTACTGCTGACACAGATAATTACATTATTTCTTTTCATTTTTTTTTATTTAAGGGTAAACTGAAAATGTGTGAAAGCACTTCAGTGTTCTCAGGGAATTGGTTTATACTATTTTTGAAGTACTGTGAAAAGTCTTCTTGAGGCTGTATTTATTAGTATAATTATCAAAAATATATTCTGATAGGCTGCTTTGTTAAGATGGGGTCTCTAAATGATCTCCTCTCCAAGTGGAGTAGCTGTGCCAAAAGACAAGGAGGGCTCTGCTGAGGCAGGGAGCTGGTGGTTTGCACTACTGAAACAGGAACCCCCAAAACCCAGATAAATCAATTTATTGAGGGGAAAAACCAGCTCACAAAACTGGAGAACTGCCTAACCCTAACCCTTTGTGTGAAATAGTGCTTTTCTCACTCATGCCTGCACGCAGGGGGTGCAGGGAATGGCATGGGATGAGCTCAGTTCCAGAAGGAAGCAGATCCTGAGTATCATTGTTGATTGATGTGGTGGGAAGGATGAGACTCTGAGGGCTTAAATGAAACACTGACTCTCTTAGGTTACAACAAATTCTGACTTAGGATGATTTCTGGCTAGATGATATTTATGTATTTATTTGTTCTTCAACAAAAAGGCAAATTAATGGTTCATAACAGCTGAACATTTTACTAGAAATCTAACTTGCTGCAGCTTCAATTAAAGAGCTTTACAATCTCTAAACTCAAGGTCTTCTAGTGATCCTTGTAGAACAATTACATTTTACAGTACTCCCAGGAGATTAGTGCTTTCCATCTCTACAGGATAAACTCCCAGCTCCATATTTGTGGGTTTTTTTTTTCCTTTTCCTTTATTGTGGCTGTCCACCCCAGACATACAAATCTGGGAACTGTCAGCTTGGGTGCCACGGCAGGGCTGAGCTGCTGCTGTGCTGTAGGGACAGCTCACAGACAGACAGTTCATTTCTTTGGAGCATGGACAAGGCTAAATCTGGTGCACACCAATTGTGTGCCTGTAATATTAGTGAATAATGCTGTGTCTAACCATTTCTGACAGGATTTTTAATCTGGTTCATGATTTCATTTGGTGCAACACTCCAAATGCATGAGTCATTACAGGAATGAAATAATTCATGTCCCGGACTTTTGTTTTGACCTAAAGTTTGGTGGCTATTTAAATGACCAGATTTGTTCCCTGAACCCATCATCATTTTGCAGATGTGATAATGGTTCTGCAAGTCCTGGCAGGGAGCTGCACATGAGTGGGTCTTTCATGAGCTGAAAATTCTTGTCTAGATCCTTTCTACTTGTGTTAAATTACTACAGGAAAAAGAGCATTGATGGACTTGTACAGGCAACACAGGAACAGAAATGGTATCAATAGCCTCTGAAGTTTTGTCTTTCCCCAGAATATTCTGAGTTGGAAGGGATCTGTAAGAGTCACCAAGTCCAAGTCTTCTGTGAATGGCCCATACAGGGATCATACAACCCTGGTGTTATTATTAGCACCATGCTCCAACCATTGCAGCTAATGTGGAGAGGTTCTCTCTCTCCACCTCTCCTCAAAGGATTGAGAAGAGAGGAGGATCACTCATCATCCTGTTCTTGAGCCTGGTCCTCATGTTTAGACAAGCCCTTCTTTGAATTCACTCAGAGATATCACATTGATGCAGCTCTTTCTGATGTGAAATCACACACAAAGCGATCACGTGGAACAATCTTAAATTCTGCATATTTTTGTCTCTAGAATGGCGAGCTGTAGGTGGATCACCAATAAACTGAATTTTTGGAAAAAATTACAAATAACAGCACAAACTTATATCTGACCTTTATATAATATTGAGGACAGCCAAGCCCTGACTTATCTGTAAACAAGAACCTGGGGTGATCCCACTGAAATGGCAGCAGAGAGCAGGGCAGGCTGGCGGTCGATGGCTCCCTTTGCGGGTTTTGCTCAGAAAACCCCAGTAACTGTGGGTTTGCTGGGTGTTTTGTTCAGAAAACCCCAGTAACTGTGGGTTTGCTGTGTGTTTTGTTCAGAAAACCCCAGTCACTGTGGGTTTGCTGTGTTTTGTTCAGACAACCCCAGTAACTGTGTGTTTGCTGTGTTTTGTTCAGACAACCCCAGTAACTGTGTGTTTGCTGTGTCGGTTTTGTTCAGAAAACCCCAGTAACTGTGGGTTTGCTGTGTGTTTTGTTCAGAAAACCCCAGTAACTGTGTGTTTGCTGTGTTTTGTTCAGAAAACCCCAGTAACTGTGGGTTTGCTGGGTGTTTTGTTCAGACAACCCCAGTAACTGTGGGTTTGCTGTGTTTTGTTCAGACAACCCCAGTAACTGTGGGTTTGCTGTGTGTTTTGTTCAGAAAACCCCAGTAACTGTGGGTTTGCTGTGTGTTTTGTTCAGACAACCCCAGTAACTGTGGGTTTGCTGGGTGTTTTGTTCAGACAACCCCAGTAACTGTGTGTTTGCTGTGACGGTTTTGTTCAGAAAACCCCAGTAACTGTGGGTTTGCTGGGTGTTTTGTTCAGAAAACCCCAGTAACTGTGGGTTTGCTGTGACGGTTTTGTTCAGAAAACCCCAGTAACTGTGGGTTTGCTGGGTGTTTTGTTCAGACAACCCCAGTCACTGTGGGTTTGCTGGGTGTTTTGTTCAGAAAACCCCAGTAACTGTGGGTTTGCTGGGTGTTTTGTTCAGACAACCCCAGTAACTGTGGGTTTGCTGTGACGGTTTTGTTCAGACAACCCCAGTAACTGTGGGTTTGCTGGGTGTTTTGTTCAGAAAACCCCACTAACTGTGTGTTTGCTGTGTGTTTTGTTCAGACAACCCCAGTAACTGTGGGTTTGCTGGGTGTTTTGTTCAGAAAACCCCAGTAACTGTGTGTTTGCTGGGTGTTTTGTTCAGAAAACCCTAGTAACTGTGTGTTTGCTGTGTGTTTTGTTCAGACAACCCCAGTAACTGTGGGTTTGCTGTGACGGTTTTGTTCAGAAAACCCCAGTAACTGTGTGTTTGCTGTGTTTTGTTCAGACAACCCCAGTAACTGTGTGTTTGCTGTGTTTTGCAGGCGCCTGCACTCCAATTTCCTGCACTGTGACTGCCACCTGGCCTGGCTGTCGGACTGGCTGCGCCAGCGCCGCACCATCGGCCAGTTCACCTTCTGCCTGGCGCCCGTCGGCCTGCGCGGCTTCCTCGTGGCAGAGGTGCAGAAGAAGGACTTTGTCTGTTCTGGTAATGCTGCCAATCCTCCTTTATCTCGTATCTATTTCATGTCTCCTTTATCTATCTCTGGTTTTATGTTGCCATAAAAAAATGAGATGTGGAAAATGGCCGTGTCGCGTTCGAACGCAAACACAGCAATCCTGTTTGGTTTTGTTGTTGCTAAACTGTATGGGAGGAGATCAAATTGTTGGTTTTTTGCAGCTTTGTGAGAATTATTGGATTCCAGTTAACATTTTGGTTCTCAAATTACTTCTTCTGCTTTAACATTGCCAATGATATCAACATAAGAAATCAATTATGTGTGGATAATTTGGTATTTCTCAAGGGAAGAGCTCTACAGCTGACTGGAATACAAAGGACAGGAAATAGAAAATGCAAATCTGAGTCTGTTGACAAATGATTGGACTTTAGAACGTGAGGAGCAGATTTTATCCCAGGGACTGAAACAGGGATTCTCAGGGAGCCGATGGACTTTGCTGTTGTACAAGTTTCCACACTGATAAATGGGGCTGATGATACTCACAAATCATGTGTCTGTATGTTGGGCCTATTCATCAAGTCTCTGGAACTGCACTTGGTTCTTGCAGGATTGAAATACATTTTCCTAAAAGGAGAAGAAAAAGAACAAAAGAAAAAACGGCAAAAAGTGGAGAAAGAAATCTCTGAGTTGGGTTGAAAGGAAGGATGTGGTGGAGGAGCAGCATGGCAGTGTGTATGCTGTGGAAAAAAAATATACCAGACATAAGTTTGGAGGTGGTTTTGCAGCCCCAGTGGTGATACAGAGGGCTTGTGATGGAGATGATGTGAGTCTAAACATTGATTGTGAGTCTTGTGCTGTTTTATTCCTTATCTCTCACAGCCTGAGAGCCCCAAAGCTTTATCCTATGGGTACATGGATTGGCTGATGGAAATACAGTAGAGCTGCTCGTGCCAGAAGTGTTTTAGGAATGCCTTTTTTCTGTTATTCCATTTACATGTGACTAAGAGAAATGGTTGCATTTAGAGAAAGAAGAAAGGTTTGACCCCACTCAAGCATTAATTAATTAATTAATGCCCAGCCCAAAGGTGTGCTGAAGTGTTATTACATGGAAAATGAAGTTGTGCATACTGGACATGACATTTCAGATATTTCAGAGTGCTGGGTAGATTCTACACTGTAGTGGAGATGATAGGCAGAATATCTGATAAGTTATATCAAAAGTTTAACTAAAGGAAAAGTTTAGAAATGTAACAGTCTTGGGAGAGGACGGATGAAACAAATGGATAAATGAATGAAGCTATTAGCAGAAGCTGATTTTACCAAAGAGGCAACCACAGCTTTTTTTTCCCTTTCCTCTTGTGAAATGAAGTTTCAGATGGAGCGTGAGTTCAGCTATTTGGATTTATGATACAGTGAAGTGGAGGAAAATGAGTTGTTTAAGTCAGGAGAAGAGATAATAATTGCTGAATGAGAAATGTAATGTGAACAGAACTCATTTAAATGGGGTTGTCTGTGCAGACTGAGACTTCCAAAAGTGACAAGGTTTTTAGCAGTTCCCTGTTGGACCAAGAGGATATAGGCATTCTCTCATGATCTGCCTGCTTTTGTAAAAAATACAAAATCGTGAAAATTCAAGCAAAGAAATTTTTAGTGAGACAGTCCATCAACTGTATCCCTGTAACTCTCATTTGGGAAATGAAATGAAATGTACTGAAAAAGAAATTCATTTGGAGAGCTCATTTTAGTGGTGGATTTAGCTGAGAACTCAGTACATGCTAGTTCGATAAAAACCTACATGGACAGCTAGTTTAAAGAGGATATAAATCTTCCCTTCTCCCCATTACAGCTCTTAAATCTGATTTTACAGCATAATTTGTTAATGTGTGAATATGAAGTCAAACCAGGACAGGCGGTGAAGAGCGAACTGAACTTGTCCCTCTGCAATGGAATTTTGCAGAAGTTAAGGTTTTGTGAATTGCTGTAACCAGCCTCAAGCTGGCAGGGAGAGCCACCTTGGCATCCCTTCCAGTTAGGAGGAGCTGAAATTCAAATGGTGAACTGCTCTGTTGAAGTTCAGGTTCAGGACATCAAGCACTTGTGGTTTTATGGCAGTGGGAATATCACAGCAGCCAAAAAACCCTCAGCTTTTCCTTCACTGTGAAATGGGCTCCATCTGAGCATTCCAGTTTAAAACTGGTGCTGCTGGATGCTTCAGAGGAGAAAGAGTAGATTCATAATTTGGGGAAAGAAGAAACACAACAGTGGAAAACAGACTCCTCTTTGTTCTTTGAATCCTATGCAAAAATAGTGATGCTTTATATTTTTATGAGAAATGTTTCTTTGGAAATAGATTTTGAATGCTGCATGCCAAGTGGGAAAAGAAGAACTGAAACAATGATAGAAAAGTGCCATAAATAGAACCAAAGTTGCTGGATTCTCTGTGGACATGTCCTGCACCATGGTGTTTGCATTAGGAACAAAATCTCTCCAGATAATGTTGCTGAAATCAGAGTTATGTGCAGATATATCAAGGTAAACTGAGTCACACCTGTGTAACCTGGGTGTCAGTCTTTCAAGAATGTTGTTCAGCTTGGGTTTTACAAATTATAAATTATTATATAAATATAATATAAATATTATATTTATATTATATAAATAGAAATATATTTATATTATATAAATATAATAGTATAATATATAAATATAATATATAATATTTAATATATAATGATATAATATAAATATATATAATATATATTTTTATATATTATATTTATAATATATATTATGTTTATATAATTATATAAATATGTAATATAAATGATAATTATATAAAGCATTCTTTGTAATAATTAAAAATTATTAAAAATCTGATTCAAATGGTGCATGTAGGTCACCTGAGAGCAGTGGAGAAGCTATTCCAGGTTCCTCCTGTTTGAGCATTTGGCTTAGAGCTGGAGGTGAAGGTGCAGGATTCAGCAGTGCACAGTTGCCTGGAGATGGGCTTGGAAACATGTCTGGTTGGGTTTGTGTTACTGAGGAGAAGGGGAAAGTTCAGGGACAAAGTGGGACTAGGTGGCTCCTCACCATCAGGGAGAGTGCCAAGTGCTGCTGGCACTCCTGTCACCCACCAGGCTGGCTCCTTCTGCAAGCTGTCCCCTCCCTGCAGGGGAATGTCACCTCCAGAGCCACCTTGGCCAGAGCAGCCTTCCTGGGCCTCTGCCTTCAAGGCCATCTGTTCCTGGAGAAATCTCCAAACAGCCTCTTCTCCTGCACAGTGGGGTCTGCAGCTCTGGGATGCCTTTGGTGACAGGCTCCTAAAGGGTGGAATGGGAGGAAGGGGAAATGCTGTGGCACCAGAGGATGAGCCCCTTGGTGATGTGCTGCACAAAGGTAGCAGGCTGCATTTCACCTGGAGAAGGGCTGTATTTCACATGGATAAGGAGTGTATTTCACATGGAGGGCTGTATTTCACCTGGTAGGGGGTGTATTTCACATGGGTAGGGGGTGTATTTTATATGGATAAAAGGTGTATTTCATGTGGAGAAGGGGTGTATTTCACATGGATAGTAGAGTGTATTTCACTTGGATAAGGGCTGTGTTTCACCTGGATAAGGAGTGTATTTCACATGGATAACAGGGTGTATTTCACTTGGATAAGGGCTGTATTTCACCTAGATAAGGGGTGTATTTCACATGGATACCAGGGTGTATTTCACATGGATACCAGGGTGTACTTTACATGGGTAGCAGGGTGTATTTCACATGGATAGTAGAGTGTATTTCACATGGATAAGGGCTGTATTTCACATGGATACCAGGGTGTATTTCACTTGGATAAGGCTGTATTTCACATGGATAATAGAGTATATTTCACATGGATACCAGGGTGTACTTTACATGGATAAGGGGTGTATTTTGCATGGATAGTAGAGTGTATTTCACATGGATACCAGGGTGTATTTCACATGGATAAGGGCTGTATTTCACATGGATAAGGGGTGTATTTCACCTGGATAAGGGCTGTATTTCACATGGATACCAGGGTGTATTTCACATGGATAGTAGAGTGTATTTCACATGGATAAGGGGTTTATTTCACATGCATCATGGGATCCATGTGAAATGCAAATCATGTGGTTGGCAGGGTGTATTTTACATAGGTAGCATGATGTATTTTAACTCTCCCATTCACTGCCATGCTGCTGTGACGAAAAATCAGTGCAGTAAGCAAAGACAGTGTCACTTGAAATACTACCTGTATTCTGGTCTTGGGAAGATGTTTATTGTTATATTCCCTTAGGTAGCAGAGAAGCATCTGGGGGTGCTGGCTTATGCTCAGTACCTCTTAGGGCTTTCTCATATTTGCCTGGATCAAACCCAGCTTCCTTCCTGTGCTCAGATGTTTCACTGTTGGACTGGCTTCTCCTTCTCTGTCTGTGTCTCTCAAACACATCCTCTCTCTCTCTCTGCCTATTTGTCTGTCTCTTGTCCTCCTCTGACCTCCTCATGATAGTAATTTTATTTCATTTTCCTCTCATATAAGTTTTATCATGGCTCTTTGATTTTTCTTCTAGCTGCTCCTTACTTATTGGAGATGAAATTAGCTTATGTATTGACCAGTTATGTCCAGTTATAATGTGTTTTCTCACCTGCAACAGCTGTAAAGCTTTGCAAACAAAGCAGTGGGATCATGAAGTTATGCCACCAGCAGCACCTTGGTTTTTTCAGGGCTCTCTGTGCAGAAGCCACTGACCTCATTTGGAATTTTTTTTGCAGTGATGAATTGTTCTGGTTTCCCTGAGTATACATGTGAGAATATCTGTGCATCTAAACAGGAGCACTGTGTCTTGTACTGTGATCTGTCACATACTTCAGCTGCCAGATTAGTTCTCATTTTGGCCAGTAGCTTGATGGTGGACAGTGTTTGTACTGGAGTATGAAGATTGGCTAAGATTTCTTAGGCTGGACTAGAGACTGATATTTCTAGTGTTGATTAATTTTTTAAGTCTAAATATGTGATTATTAG